GCTGGCGGGACATAGAGGAGAAACAATAATGTACAGTATGTGGAAAATTAAACCTTAAACCGCATAAACACATTTCATTACACCAAATACACAAAATAATGTTCTTTTTAGCAGCATCATATGACCAGCGTGTGTGTGTGAGTCAGCGTGTGTGTGTGAGTGTGGGTGTGTGTGTGTGTGTGTGTGTGGTCAGTTGACTGATGGCACTGTAGACGTGAGCAGGATCTGAACTATCTGTGGGATTATGAGTGTTTAGTTACAGCTGCAGACAGACAGATCTTCCCTCATCTGTGTGTGTGTGTGTGTGTGTGTGTGTGTGTGTTTATGTAGAAAAGCATAAACTCTAGTTTCAGGCAGTGAGCTGGTTCTGGTTGTTTGGTTATTCAGAGTTGGTGATATATGACACACACACACACACACTTACACATGTGTGTGTCTGTAAGAGCAGTGTAAATGGAGCCGGGGGGAATCTCCTGTGTGACCCCTGTGCTCTGACCTATGCGTGACCCCGCAGTGACATCACACACACACACACAGGGTGTGTTACGGGTGTCAGAGTGCCATTGTTGAGCGCTCAGTAAATCACAGTCCTGCTGACAGCGATGCCAGATCACACATGACAGTGAGCGGCGTGATCACATGACACGGGTGTGTGTGTGTGTGTGTGTGTGTGTGTGTGTGTGTGTGTGTGTGTGTGTGTTAGCTTTATAGTCGCAGCTCAGACAGATTACAGTCACAGTTCACGCAGAAATCATCATTCTGTCATCATTCACTCCTGTTCAAACTCTAGATGACCGTCTTTGTTCTGTGGAAATCGAGATGTTTAGCAGAATGTTGTTTTCCACACAGTGCCACGTTCACATGAACACCAATACATTCATAACTTATAAAAATCAGCTTATTGAAATAACCCGTCGTCCTGATTTACATGCAAACGTAATGATTGGGTTTTGCTGTGGTGTGTCGGCCAGAGATAAAACATGTTTTATCAGTCAGTGTTTCTATCAAATAATCAAGTTCAGTGATTCCAGTCAAACTGACAGAATTCAGTGTTTCTTTAATCAGAACCGCTCAGCTTGTGTGTGTGTGTGTGTGTGTGTGTGTGCAGTTGATCTGGAGCACATGCGGACAGTAAAGATGGAGAAGCATCAGCGATTCTGTCAGGAAAACGGACTCATCAGTCAGTTTGTGTCTGCAAAGACGGGAGACTCTGTGAGTAACACACATACATACATACATACATGCACACACACATAAATACATACACACACACACATAAATACACACACACACACACTCACTCACTCACTCACTCACTCACTCACTCACTCACTCACACACTAATACATATACACACTCACTCACACACACACACACACTAATACATATACACACTCACTCACTCACACACACACTAATACATATACACACTCACTCACTCACTCACTCACACACTCACACACACTAATACATATACACACACTCACTCACTCACACACTCACTCACTCACACACACAAATACATATACACACACACACACACACTCTCACACACACACACACATAGACGTCTATAAATTACCTCATATTGCAAACCCTTGTGACTTCTGCCTAATGACAACACATTTCACAAAATGCTTTATTTGGATTCACTAAAATCACGTAATCATAAAAGGAGTCAAACATTTTAGTCATATACCGTGGAGATCGAAATTAGAGAACAATCTATAAATACTTGATTTTTTCTGAAATATTGTTAATCTTCATCACTCAAAATCTGAAGGAATATCAGCTGTAGGTATACCACGGATCCAACATGTTTGACAAAATAACCAAGGCATTTCAATCAAACCTTTATGTTGTGTAAAACAATGATCAAAATGAAAGAACAACAACCACTGCAGCACGAAAGATGATTACAGCTAAGATTTTGGAGGGTTACAGCTGTCAGAAATGAGTAGAAGGTGTAGAGGCACATCAGCTCCTGCTGCAGAAAACATCCCCCGAACCATGACACCACCTCCTCCTCCAGCTTTCACTGACTTCTTTACGCACGCGGGCTTCAGTCTTTCCCCAGTTTGACGCCGAACATAATGTTTCCCGTCAGACCCAAATAAATGAAACTTGCTCTCATCACTAAAGTGAACTTTGGAGCAGTTCTCCTCTCTCCACACAACAAGCTCCTCAGCAAAAGTGAGTCTAGTCTTTTGATTCTCTCTGCTTGATGAGAGGCTTGATCACTGCTGAGTGCGCTTTCAGTCCCACTTCTCTTAAACGTGCCGAGACAGATCCGTACCCTGTGTACTCTCAACGGGGAATCGGGTTCAGCACTGCAGCCGGAATTGCAACCGATTCCCCATTGAGAGTCTCTGCATTATCCTGTCCTCTTGTGCTTTTGTCTTACATGCACAACCTGCCTTTTTGGGGTTTGACTTGCTCAGTGAAAATTAGAGCAATGCTGCCAGTTAAATAGGGTTTGCCATACATTTAAGGAAATTAGCACCAGGTGCCAGATTAACACCAAGAACTTGGAGGGATCTGTAAGTGTTCTCTCATTTTGATCAGAGCTCTTTTTCAAAAATCTCATTTAAGTGTTTTATACTGTGCTTCAGGATACAATTAATTTATGAAATATGCTTAAAAAACTGCCATTATAAAACAGAGAGTTCCGGTGCTTGATTCTGATTGGCTGAGCCGCGTTCAAAGCTGTTGTAAATTACTCTACAAAGTAACATACACCTTTGTTTACGTTTGTGTGTTGCTCGGCAACCACTTTGTTGCAACCACAACTGTTTCTGAGGAGCTACATTGTTTGGTGGAAGAATACTGTTTTTATTAATATCATTACACTTTATTTGCTCTGTTTTATTTTGTGAAACCTTACTACGTATATGGAATAACCGTTTTATAAAAGCAATAAGCCCCGAGAAGCCGTGGTTTACAGTGAATTTATAACAGCTAAGGGGGTTTTAGGCACTCCGCTTCTTCTTAACAACACCTCTTAGCTGTTATAAATTCACTGTAAACCACGGCTTCACGGGGATTATTGCTTTATTTTACTCCTGCTAGGAGAACTTAAAATAGTACCAAGCAGTGACCTTGAAATTTAGGAAATTGTAGTTTGTTCTCTAATTTTGATCTCCACTGTATTTTCTTGCAAAAGATGCCTGTGCTGCTGTTGTGAAATTAATGGAAGCTTATTTCTGTCACAGAATAAAAAATAAAAGGTCATTTGAGATAAAAGGTGCTAAATTTTTATCTCATAATTCAGACTTTTTCTGGTAATGCTTTATTTTGATAGTTCACTTTAGACATTCTAACTGTAAAAACTCAGAATTGCAAGATATAAACTTCACCATGAACAAGATGGTGATATTGTATGATACTGTACGACTTAGAACTTATGTTTAGGGGTTGGGTTTTTAGGCCAGAAATGTATTTTATGCAATGTATAAGCTTCTGGTAAAGCAAAATCACATTCTTATCTTTAGGTTTAGACTTGGCTCATTCGTGTTTGTGGAGTTTCTTATGATTTTAGGGTGTTCTGGTGTCTATTCTGCGTGTATCTGTGTGTTTGCAGGCGTTTCTGTGTTTCCAGCGGCTGGCAGCTGAGATGTTGGGCATGAAGCTGAATAAGGCTGAGATGGAGCAGTCACAGGTGACGATGATCTGTGCTGATCTCAGTGTTTGCTCCTCAGCAGGGCACACGTTTCTCTTTACTCCACTTCTGTGGTAGTTTCTCTGACACAGTCATACTAACACTTCCATCATTTCACGAGTCAGATGCATGTGTGTGTTCATTGTGTCTGTTTGTGTTCAGATATTACACATCCACATGTTCTGTCTTATCCAGCTAAGTTGTATTATATTAGTTTTCATCTGTAAATCATCGTTACTGTCTTTCTATCTTTATTTTCTTCCTTTATCTAATGCATGGAACCTTATTTTTCTGTTCTGTTTCTCTCCATTTCTCTGTTTCCATTGTGTGTGTGTGTGTGTGTGTGTGTGTGTGTGTGTAGCGTATTGTTGTGTCTGTGGTGTCTGTGTCTGTGTCTGTGTGAGTGTGTGTGCGTGTCTGTGTCTGTGCGTGTGTGTGTTGTGTGTGTGGTGTGCGTGTGTGTGTGCGTGTGTGTGTCTGTGGATGGAAACGAGAAAAACCTCTTTTTAACCTTTTTGAATTTTCAAAATATATTTTACATTGTTACAGCTTACATCCAGTGCACTGTATCTTGCATAAATAACTGTTTATTTATATTTGAACATTATATAATTAAAAAAAAAAAAGTTAAAATAGTTTATTTTTTATTTTTTATTATTATCTAACATATATTACACCCTTAGGTCTGAAGTGCATGCTGGGTAGAGTATGCCAAGTATGCTTTCACACACAAGGAATTTGTCTTGGTGACAGAAGCTTCCAGTGTACAGACAGGATAACAAAATAAAAATAAATATACAAAATCAATACACAATAAACAAAAAGACAATAGACAGTATATGTACATATATGCTATATACAAAATTATAGCATATTATGGCAAAATGATAGCATACTTGAATTTAAATTAAACAATAACAAAGCAGCTTTGTCTGTTTACAGTTTATTATCTTGTGTTTAGGTTGTTCATAGTTTATGGATTCATAATAATGTTTAATTACATATTTAGACCTTGTCAGACAGTAATCAATCATCATGTCACTGCTTTCTATCGAACTGCCACCTAGTGGTTACTGTATGTCACTGCACATCAACTGGATCTGCTGTAAGGTTATTTATAGTGTGAGTGAATAGAGATGACGTGAAAAGACATTAAAGGATTACAGCATAACTAATGCACTGCAGGATTACAGACAAACGGGGGTAGAGACAGAGCTGGAGGTAAACAGAGAGAGAGATCTCAGAGAGATCTAGATAAAAGGCCTCCAGGTGAAGAGAGAGAATCACAGCAACTGAGCAAGTGATTCAAATCCAGTAGACATTAAAGATTTAAAGGCTCCGGTGCACTGCATCCTGCATGGCACGCTCAGGTGAAGACACGCTCACAGGTAAGAGGATAAACTAACACAAATATAAAGGAGACAACTGTTTTGGTTGGAGTGGAAGGAAATCTGGAATTGATTTAAATGCCGGATTCTTTTTGTGTTTTTAATATGGAAATTTCGTATTTATGTCTTGATAAGGATTCTATTTTGCCATTTCAATTATTAATATAAATGATTTATTCATAAATGCATGCGTTTATGTAAAAGTATGTTTATATGTATATATATAATGTAATTTTATAAATGTCATATTGCAATTCATATAATTAATTATATCTATAAATAATTTATTATATTAATTGTAATATTACATTTTATGTAAATGACATAGTATTACATGTATTACATTATTATTTATTACATGAATTTCCTTTATTATGAATTCTGAATCAAAAATTGAATTGAAAATGTTATATTTCAGAATGTAATTTTATAAATGTAATATTGCATTTTATACAGTACATGATGTATATAAATTATTTAGAATTGACATTTATGTAATGAACGTAATTTATGTTATTAATTAATGTAATGATTACATCTATTACATTAAACATAAATCATTATATTGATTTCATTTATTATACATTTTTAATCAAAAGTTGAATTGAAAATGTTATTATATCAGAATGTTTTGATTTGTTTTTGTTTTTAGTTTGTACCCTTTTTCGAGGGCACAATCAGACAAGAGACCAACCAGAGCAAGATCTGCTCTGTCCAATAACAGTATGTGTGTGTGTGTGTGTGTGTGTGTGTGTGTGTGTGTGTGTGTGACTGACTGTGTGAGTGAGTGAGTGTGTGTCTGTGCGTGAGTGTGAGTGTGTGTGTCAGTGTGTGTCTGTGTCTGTGTCTGTGTCTGTGTCTGTGTCTGTGTCTGTGTCTGTGTCTGTGTCTGTGTGAGTGTGTGTGCGTGTCTGTGTCTGTGCGTGTGTGTGTGTGTTTGTGTGAGAGTGTGTGCGCGCGCGTGTGTGTGTGTGTGTGAGTGTGTGTGCGCGAGTGTGTGTGAGTGTGTGTGTGCGAGTGTGTGTGTGTCAGTGTGTGCGTTTTTGTGACATATGAGGACACAAATTTGTATAATGACATGGGTATGACAGGTATTACAAGGAGAAGGTGACTTATGAGGACATTACCCCATGTCCCCATTTTTCAAAACGCTTATAAATCATACAGAATGAGTTTTTTTGATAAAGTAAAAATGCACAAAGTTTCCTGTGAGGGGTAGGTTTAGGGGTAGGGTTGGTGTAGGGCAATAGAATATACGGTCTGTACAGTATAAAAACAATTACGCCTATGAGATGTCCCCACTTTTCACAAAAACAAACCTGTGTGTGTGTGTGTGTGTGTGTGCGTGTGTGTGTGTTCATCTTTTTTTGCTGTGTAGATTCATCAAAAACTTTGAATATGATATTGTTTTATGTAGATTTGAATCCAGTAGTTGACAGACAGTTTACAGTGTGTTTGTTGCTCTGTAGTGTGAGTGCAGTATCAGTCATGTGTGTGTCATGTGAACATAGATTATTGTTTGACAGTATTGTACGACCCAAAAAGTTTGGATTCACCTCTATGGTAATTTAAGTGATTAACTGCTGAAAACCGTACTGTCAGTATCTATGATCACTCCATCATTTCCAGACTTCTGTGTTATTTCAGAGTCTCCATCACAGTATAATAAAAGAGGTGTGCTGAAACTCTTGAATGTTTTCACATGTATTAGTATAGTGATGGTGAAGTGAGGGCTGACTGAAGGTTTCTTTCTCTGTTGTGTGTGTTGTGTTTCTGCAGCACGTGGTTAAAGCAGACATAGTGAACTACAGTCAGGAGTCGGTGGCTCAAGCCGTCAACCCTCCACGCAGCTCCATGTGTAACATACAGTGATCATCGTCTCTGTCTCGCTCGCGTCTGTGGTCTGAAAGTGTCCTGTTTGATGCAGACGGACTCTGAACTCTGCGTAACGGACACACGGATCCTGCTTTATACTGTCCTCCCTCTTTCTTTGATGTTTATTTGCCAATTAGACATTGTTACTAAAAAATCTTTAATGTGTGCAAGTACCAGAGCTTTACCTTGTAAATCTTTGCTTGTGTAAGTCGAGACAGATGGATGACGGATCATCATAGAGGATTGTTGTGTGTAAATGCCTCTGGAGTTCGTTCAGCTGAGAACAAGCCGAGATCTCACATCTGCGGGAGAATTCACTCGCACCGACGGAGAACTGACTTCCTCCAGAGCAGACTGTGTGTGAGTGTGTGTGAGTGTGTGTGAGTGTGTGTGAGTGTGTTTGTTGGTTTGTGCGAGCGTGAGTGTTTTCATTTCCACGGGATCCTCTACTTAGAGAAGTTTCATTATATGACCTCTGGATATTTCTGTTTAAATACTGGATGTATTTGTAAACTCAAGCCTGTCCAGGTGTTGTAGAGCGCTGTACTGTTTAGGAATAAATGTCACGACACACGTTGACTTGGATGTCTGTTTTTTTTCTCTTCGCTCTCCATCATCTTCATTGCTCTGGAAAAGTAAAATATGTCTTTTCCAAATCCCACGGTCAGAAGATGTATTAATGCGGAGGAGGATGTAGACATGTGGTCAGGAATATTGTCCAATATTAATATCATTCAAATGTCTGCCTGTAATTTACTGAAACGTGATGCCAGTGAGTAATTGCGCCTGAAATAGTCTCCTCTTGACAGCACTTACACACGAGCTGTTCAGAACGAGTCCAGCGCTCATCACTTCATCTGATGGGGAATTAATATACGCTCCAAACTTCAGTGTCCATGTGGTCAACGTTTCATTTGTTTCACACGATCAGTCGGTTAAGACGGGAAACATTTGACCTTCACTAAGAGAGAAAGAAACATGTTAACTGCACTGCAAAATAAATTATTATAGTAGCTATCATAGATGCATCTTTATAACGTTTTTGCACTGGATAAAGGTGCGTTCACACCTAAAACGGTAGCTATATTAGCGTCCACACCAATGCACAATAATGTTTACTATAAGTGTGCTGTAGTTTTATCATCTGCCGCTTTATATGCTGGAACTCTGTAAACTTTGTTGGATTCTGATTGGCTGTCAATGTTTTTATCGTTAATCAGCTGAAAAAAGAAACATTTTAAATTGTTTAAACCATATCGTTCCTCTGTGTTGTTATAGTTATGGTTTGCTATTATTTTAGAACGTTTTTAAAACTATATAGTTAAAACGCGCGCGCTTCTGTCGCTTTAAATGCTCTTGCGGTTTAAAGCAGGATGGATTCTGATTGGCTGTCACTCGCTGCGTCCGAAATCGCATACTTCCCTACTATATAGTAGGTGAAAAACAGTATGTGAGGCGAGTAGTACGTCCAAATTCATAGTATTCGAAAAACAGTAAGCGAAAAGTACCCGGATGACCTACTTTGTCTTCCGCCCGGATTCTGAAGTGCGCATTCGATGGACGCTTTACTATCCCATGAGGCCACGGGAGAGGATTTATGAACGGTGGTGAAGCAACGCAACTGAAGCTGGTAGGTCATGTGACCGTAACAACATGGCGGATACTACCCATATTCATACTATATAGAACGTACTTTTCTAAAATTCACATTCAAATGTAGTACCTACTTAGTACGCAATTTCAGATGCACCGAATGTTTTTATTGTTAGTCAGCTGGAAAAAAATAACTTTAAAATTAGAACGACTATTAACTTCACAATTAATCATCCTTGCTGTGAAAGGCAGTGTTGCCAAGTCCACGATTTTCCGTGATATTGTGATATTTAGCCCGTGGAATACGAATTTTACTTGAGGAACCTCGCCCAAAAAAAGTGTATTTTACTAGGCTAGTTTTGAGTAGCGATTGGGTGGGTTTGGCTGTGAAAACCTGGCAACCCTTCCCAAAACTAGCCCAATGTTTGGGTTCGTTCCCCTGGTAAAATTCGCGTTCCAATGGTAAATATAACGTTATTGGAGTCGCTTCAACCCACGGACATGAAAAACAACCCACTACCCAATAAGTGGGAAAACCGTGGACTTGGCAACCTTTATTTTTTGTGCTAATTTTGATTAGCGATTGGGCAGGTTTTGTTGTGAAAACCTGGCAACCGTGGTGAACGTGCTATTAATGTGATTCATCAACACTTAACATCTGTAATATATATTTAATCAATCTTTATACGTTGTAATCGTTTATTTTAATTTTCCCTTTGCTTATTTTTGGTTATTTCTCTGAATTTATGTACATGTAATTGTGACAATTACTGACAGGCATCGCGGTCGCTAATGAATAACGTCTCAGGTTACTTATGTAGCCATGGTTCCCTGAGTAGGGAACGAGACACTGCGTCCTCTAGGTTTCCCCATAGCGACCCCTAGAGGACGCAGTTCGAAGTTCCCATGAAAGGGAACGTCTCAGGTTACTTATGTAACCATGGTTCCCTGAGTAGGGAACGAGACACTGCGTCCTCTAGGTTTCCCCATAGCGACCCCTAGAGGACGCAGTTCGAAGTTCCCATGAAAGGGAAATGAAGATTTCACTGCAGAGCTGTCATTTGGCGCGGCCGCTGTTTGTACAGGTGTTTTAGTAAAGAAAACAGCGGCAAGACGCTTCCAGTTCAAACTCCCGACCTACTCAAAAAAGACACGAGGAAAGAATAATATATGGTGGAAAATAATGCGAGGAAAAGGGCTGAAGGTTTGACAGATGAGCGGCGGGTCGTCGGGGAGCTCGAGTCTGTTTCCCGTGCGCGGGCTTTGAGTGATGGCGTCACTAATCTGTCGAGTGTCCGTTAAAGCTGAAGAGAACATCTCAAACTAACATCTAACACACGCAAAGTGTGATTTAACACAGGTAAGAACCCCTTTACCAGCTTTATGTTATAAAACAGGGCGTTATTTAAAGGTTAGCATAACATCTAGTTAAAAATATGTTCAGAAATGTTAGCCAAAGGATGTTTTTTTCTAATATTACGAGACCTTAAAGGTATAGTTCACTCAGAAATTAAAATTCTGTCATTATATGTCCCTTTAAACATGTATAACTTTCTTTCTTAAGAAATGGATTAATTGTATGGACAAAAAAACGCTGAGAAGCTCTTCAAAATAAACGACCGAATGATCAGTTTGGGGTGAACTGTCCATTTAATGGTCTAATAAACATTCATCACATTAGCCATAGGTTGTTTAAATATTGGAAAACATCTCAGGCCAAACTACGATTTAACACAGGTTAAAAACGTTTTGTTGTCCTTGTTTTCTTAAAACATAAATAGCACTATTGAAAGGTTAGCATAACATTCTCTAAAGAGGGAATCCTAGTTTAAAGATAATAAAAAATGTTGTCCAAATGATGTTTTCTTCTAATATTGCAAGATAATTACACACAAAACTGGACCCCTTGGACAAAAAACACTGAGACGTCCATTTCCATCCAGTATCCATTTAACTATAAAATTAACATTCATAACATTAGCAATAGTTTTTCAGGAAAACATCGCAGCTCAAGCTATGATTTAACACAGGTTAAAAATATTTGGTTGTCTTTTTTTCTTAAAAAAAAAAACCAGCATGTTATTGAAAGGCATAACGTTCCCTGAATAAATAAATCTACTTTAAATATGTTTTAAAAAAACAATGTTTTCTTCTGTTGTGCGATAGTTATAGACCGACTGACTTCCATTGTGCATTCTTCAAAACATCATCTTTTGTGTCCCACAGAGAACAAGAAAGTCCTACGGGTTTGACATGAGCGCGAGTAAATGATGACAGAATGAGCATTTTCTCTTTAATTATCAAATTCGCATTAATAATATCAGCCGTAGTTTTAATTAATGCTCCATGTTGGGTGAAAAAAAAAACCGTCTCCACTTCGAACTATGATCTCACACAGGTAAGAAATATCCCAAACTGTGATTTAACACAAATACTGTCGGTACGAAACACGCCAAGCTGAAAGATCGGAGATCAGGTTTAGTCCGTGTAAAACCGTGCAGGAACTTTAACTGCAGGTTAGCGATGAGCCAGAGGCTCCTGAATGCACCGAAGCGGTAAAACCCTACAATTAGTCCGTAATGAGCTTCAATTACACTTTATTAGAGATGTTAAACTGGAGCGCCGTGAATGGAGCCGTTGAATGTGCGGGAGAATAAGTGATTATTGTGGATGAGGGACATCGGCTGCATCTCGTGTGTGTGTGTTTTACGAGTGTTTTCGGAGTGATGTCAGACGGTATGGTGATACTAACCGTGTGTTTGCCTCTTCCACGCTGACCTGTAACTCGAGCCGCGCGACCTTTATACAGTGGAGCGTTTTAGGGCTCTTCCCGTGAACCCTCGCCGCACAAAGCACAGAGGAGACGTTGTGGCCCCTGGACTCATCATTGCAGCTCAAGCCTGAAACAGGGAGCAAACGCCGGCGGGCCGAGGAAGCAGGAAGATTGTTAAAGCAGTGAAAATAAATGCCAAGTGCATTAAAGTGCATCTGGGTGGTCAGATTTGGGGTGAACTGGAAGACCGCTTAAGATGCTCGAAAAGTGCTGGGCTGTAAACCCGTATATCCTTAAAGCCATCTGCTGGTGCACACCTCTCTATGTGTGCTTATTTTACTCTGGACTCAAACTGTGTGAGAAGAGCCATCCCGTATCCCTCTGTTCCTCTCTTTGCATCTGCCAGAGCCACAAAACTGAAGGAAAGTGTGGCTTTCCCATCACTTCAGATGTGTGTCTATCAGCTTTCTGATTCTGTGGATTGCTGTAGTTAGAATAAAGGATATATATCTCAGCCTGACGTGCCTTGATCGACTGACAAGCTCTAAATTAAAGATTATTAGAGTATGTTTTACAAGTACCGTCTAAGTTTAATTCAATGCATTGCTTGCAATTACTTTGTGACATTTATTAGCAATTTCTTTTGTTTTTTCAATGTTTTTCATGAATAAGGCAACTGTTTAATGCACCTTTTATTTGTTAGAATAAAATAGCCCAGCACAGAAAAAATTGGTGTGGATTTACATACATTTCAGTAAAGTAAATTTCACAAATAATTGCAAAGAAATGGCAACACATTGACGTTAACGTGACATTTTAAAGTGGAAAGTCGTCACAGTTATTTCTATAGTGCTTTGTTCATACAATACAGATATTTTCAAAGCATCTTCACAGAAATAAACAGGAATATAACAATATTAATGTTGCAAAATCCTATTTATGATTCTATTATCTTGAACTGTTAATTTGTGAAATGAACACATTCACTTCTGCTTTGTAATGTTGACACATGCATTTTCTGTAAAGCTGCTTTGAAACAATGTGTATTGTGAAAAGCGCTATACAAATAAATTTGAATTGAATTGAAAAAAATCTATCAATTATGAAACAAATTCAGTTTCGGCTGTAAAGAAGCTCTATAGAAGACAACGGTGCCATTATTCAGCTCAATTCAGTGTTGAATTGAGTTCATCAAATTATGAAACAAGCTTAATTTAGCTGTAAAGCAGCTCTACAGAGCAGAAGACAGGGGTGCCATTATTCAGATCAAGTTTTGTTCTCATCTGATAATGTCAGTGTTGTCAAATCAATAATAATATGAAGTGTTTTTAAACCCCAGACATTATAAGACAGAAATAGTGATTTAATGTAAACTGCAATGCAACAACCTTTGCTTTATTTACAGCTTAGACAAATGATTTTTCTCAGCTCTGCGGCTTGATTCTGCTGTAAGTCAGAGATTTAAATAGACTTGCTGTGAATTGGAGTCGGAGACGAGCGCAGAGTGAAAGAAAGATGAAATGAGACTGTGATGAATCAAGCTGATTTATAATATTTCTGTATATAGCATTACTCCAGTATACGCTTACATTCGTCTGGCCTCCAGACATTCCTCAATAATGTGCTGCTATATTAAACCATATAGTGTGTGTGTGAGTGTGAGTGTGAGTGTGAGTGTGTGTGTGTGTGTGTGCGTGTGTGAGTGTGTTATAGTGTGTGTAGCCAGTGGAGGAGGCCATACAGTTTTCACTTCGACAGAAAGACAAAAATGGGCTTGAGGGCAGATTCATCAGTGATTTTAAAGGTGAGTTAATTTATTTGATTGAGCCAAATAAAAGGTATAGTTCACCCAAAAGTGAAGATTTTGTCATCATTTAGTCACCCTCAAGTTGTCTCAAACCTGTGTAAGTTTCTTTCTTCTGTTGGGCACAAAAGAAGATATTACTAACCATTTGATGGTTAGTAAATGATGACAGAATTTTCTTTTTCTTTTTTTGCGTGAACTATGCCTTTAAAGTGACTTGTGTAATAAAGCTGTCTCCGGTTGATTATGTGCTGTTGTCAGTGATGGTTTTACCTCTCTGTTGTTGTTTAGGGAGGGGTGTGTTCAGCTCTACGGAGTTTGATAAAGGAGATTTCCTGCTGGAATACAGAGGCGACCTCATAAGCAAAGAAGAATGTGAGCGGAGGCAAAGAATATATCATGATGCACTTAAAGTTTTCATGTTTGAGTTTCGCTACAATGGAAAACTCCTTTGGTATATACAAGTGTTTGATGTACATGTTTATTGACAATTCAATTACATGATTCAAAATGTGGCAGTGGACATGTCAGTGGTTAGAGTGCATATTTTGCTATAATTATCAGTCATGTGTTCTCAAAGCTTGGTGATGACTGTTAAATGATTGGTGATCACAAAGAATATGATATCTGCTGGTCCTAAGTTTTCAGTGCTGATATTGTCTATCATTTGTTTAGTGTCGATGCAGCCCGAGATGACGGTTCTCTTGGGCGACTTGTAAACGATGACAATATTAACCCAAACAGCAGAATGAAGACTATCCGTGTGGATGGAAAACCTCACTTATGCTTATTTGCCACAAGGAGCATCTGTCTTGGTGAAGAGATCACATATGATTATGGTGATTCTGAGTGGCCATGGCGATGCACGGTATTGAAACCTCTACACTGTCAATTCTGATTTATTAGATTATAGTAAAGTTTAAAAATATTAAACATCAGTTGTTACCCAAGTTAATGTTAGTGACTTCTTATATATTACATTACATGCATGTTCATTCCAGTATGTCAGGTTGTGTATGTTTACACCTTTAGTTACGAGGACCCTGTTTTATGAGGACCATCATAAGAACATGGTCTTGATGTCACATTGTGTGTATGTTTACACCTGTGTTACGAGGACCCTGTTTTATGAGGACCATCATAAGAACATGGTCTTGATGTCACATTGTGTGTATGTTTACACCTGTGTTACGAGGACCCTGTTTTATGAGGACCATCATAAGAACATGGTCTTGATGTCACATTGTGTGTATGTTTACACCTGTGTTACGAGGACCCTGTTTTATGAGGACCATCATAAGAACATGGTCTTGATGTCACATTGTGTGTATGTTTACACCTGTGTTACGAGGACCCTGTTTTATGAGGACCATCATAAGAACATGGTCTTGATGTCACATTGTGTGTATGTTTACACCTGTGTTACGAGGACCCTGTTTTATGAGGACCATCATAAGAACATGGTCTTGATGTCACATTGTGTGTATGTTTACACCTGTGTTACGAGGACCCTGTTTTATGAGGACCATCATAAGAACATGGTCTTGATGTCACATTGTGTGTATGTTTACACCTGTGTTACGAGGACCCTGTTTTATGAGGACCATCATAAGAACATGGTCTTGATGTCACATTGTGTGTATGTTTACACCTGTGTTACGAGGACCCTGTTTTATGAGGACCATCATAAGAACATGGTCTTGATGTCACATTGTGTGTATGTTTACACCTGTGTTACGAGGACCCTGTTTTATGAGGACCATCATAAGAACATGGTCTTGATGTCACATTGTGTGTATGTTTACACCTGTGTTACGAGGACCCTGTTTTATGAGGACCATCATAAGAACATGGTCTTGATGTCACATTGTGTGTATGTTTACACCTGTGTTACGAGGACCCTGTTTTATGAGGACCATCATAAGAACATGGTCTTGATGTCACATTGTGTGTATGTTTACACCTGTGTTACGAGGACCCTGTTTTATGAGGACCATCATAAGAACATGGTCTTGATGTCACATTGTGTGTATGTTTACACCTGTGTTACGAGGACCCTGTTTTATGAGGACCATCATAAGAACATGGTCTTGATGTCACATTGTGTGTATGTTTACACCTGTGTTACGAGGACCCTGTTTTATGAGGACCATCATAAGAACATGGTCTTGATGTCACATTGTGTGTATGTTTACACCTGTGTTACGAGGACCCTGTTTTATGAGGACCATCATAAGAACATGGTCTTGATGTCACATTGTGTGTATGTTTACACCTGTGTTACGAGGACCCTGTTTTATGAGGACCATCATAAGAACATGGTCTTGATGTCACATTGTGTGTATGTTTACACCTGTGTTACGAGGACCCTGTTTTATGAGGACCATCATAAGAACATGGTCTTGATGTCACATTGTGTGTATGTTTACACCTGTGTTACGAGGACCCTGTTTTATGAGGACCATCATAAGAACATGGTCTTGATGTCACATTGTGTGTATGTTTACACCTGTGTTACGAGGACCCTGTTTTATGAGGACCATCATAAGAACATGGTCTTGATGTCACATTGTGTGTATGTTTACACCTGTGTTACGAGGACCCTGTTTTATGAGGACCATCATAAGAACATGGTCTTGATGTCACATTGTGTGTATGTTTACACCTGTGTTACGAGGACCCTGTTTTATGAGGACCATCATAAGAACATGGTCTTGATGTCACATTGTGTGTATGTTTACACCTGTGTTACGAGGACCCTGTTTTATGAGGACCATCATAAGAACATGGTCTTGATGTCACATTGTGTGTATGTTTACACCTGTGTTACGAGGACCCTGTTTTATGAGGACCATCATAAGAACATGGTCTTGATGTCACATTGTGTGTATGTTTACACCTGTGTTACGAGGACCCTGTTTTATGAGGACCATCATAAGAACATGGTCTTGATGTCACATTGTGTGTATGTTTACACCTGTGTTACGAGGACCCTGTTTTATGAGGACCATCATAAGAACATGGTCTTGATGTCACATTGTGTGTATGTTTACACCTGTGTTACGAGGACCCTGTTTTATGAGGACCATCATAAGAACATGGTCTTGATGTCACATTGTGTGTATGTTTACACCTGTGTTACGAGGACCCTGTTTTATGAGGACCATCATAAGAACATGGTCTTGATGTCACATTGTGTGTATGTTTACACCTGTGTTACGAGGACCCTGTTTTATGAGGACCATCATAAGAACATGGTCTTGATGTCACATTGTGTGTATGTTTACACCTGTGTTACGAGGACCCTGTTTTATGAGGACCATCATAAGACCATGGTCTTGATGTCACATTGTGTGTATGTTTACACCTGTGTTACGAGGACCCTGTTTTATGAGGACCATCATAAGAACATGTTCCTGATGTTTGATTGAAGAATCTCAGTGTGTCGTTTGTTTGACAAAAGCCTGGTATTTGAAGACCCTAGTTATCACCATGACATTGGACTGTGTGGATGTGAAAGATTAGGCTTAATATGGATCATTCACATCTCATTGTGGCCATATATGATATTGAAAACTTATAATTGTTATCTTTAGATTAAGTATATTGTAATAGAAGTTGGTAAAAAGTCGGTCCTCTTGTTTGAAATTGACTTTCAGGCAGTATACTACAGTATTCTGCAATTTTATCATATTTGTGTCATATTATTTTATTTTTTTATTTTCTTATTTTTTACTTTTTTAGTTTAAATAACTTTCTCCAAGATTGCATATTATTTATTTTATTTATTCACATCTTATTTTCAGATGATAACTGAGAAGAATCAGTGTCTAAAGAACCTAAAGAACTCTGAACAAGGCACAGCAGCTATAAAGGTATCCAAGAAGTTCTTGTAATAATTGTGTTAGTCTTTAAAGAGTAGAACATTACATTGTCTCTTAGAAACAGATGTGAACATTGTTTGCTGCATTATTGTGGGTGTTAAAAGTGAGTCTTGGTTACATGCTGTATAATTAACGCAGACACGCAGATGTGTCTCAAATCACCACCGTTTTTCTCATACACAGAAATGCTTGAACTAAGGGTGCTGTCCACATTTGTCTAGTTACCAATGTCCCAGTAATAACAAGGATACAAATAGACCAGACTTTTTTCAAACTAACAACATACTGAGACTCAAGTCAAGAACATGTTCTTATGATGTCTTCATAAAACAGGGTCCTCATAACACAGGTGTAAACATACACACAATGTGACATCAAGACCATGTTCTTATGATGGTCCTCATAAAACAGGGTCCTCGTAACACAGGTGTAAACATACACACAATGTGACATCAAGACCATGGTCTTATGATGGTCCTCATAAAACAGGGTCCTCGTAACACAGGTGTAAACATACACACAATGTGACATCAAGACCATGGTCTTATGATGGTCCTCATAAAACAGGGTCCTCGTAACACAGGTGTAAACATACACACAATCTGACATACTGGAATGAACATGCATGTAATGTAATACATAAGAAGTCAGGAACATTATCTTGGGTAACACTTAAATATTGAAATACTGATTTGAAATGTTGTAATATTACTTGTAAATTACATTGATAAAATATAAGCAAGATAAAATAATTTAATATAGATGTTTTAAATCAGTATTTTATGCACACATTTATTGTCTCAATCAATGTTACAAATGTCTAATTTTATATTTTCTAGACTCTTAGTGTGGCTGAACCATCCACTCTTGAAGTCAACACTCTGTCCCAGTCAGAAGTCAGAGACGTAGAGAAGGTATTGTGTTTTATTTTATTTTTTTTTATTTTTTTTGTGGCATCATACCTGAATTTGTTCTGGCCTTATCTGCCTTCTTTTGCTTGGGTATCTCATTCATAACATAATAATTATTTAATTTTTTGATTTCATGTTTTCAGCTGACAGTTGTCAGTGATCAGTCAGTGTTAATGGACTCAAGTATCTGTGCAGCATCTGAAGGGCTGGAAAAGGTAATTCATTATAAATTTGAACAATCCCTGAATCCTTTGTCTGCAGTAGAATGTTCATTTATTTTTTATTTCCGTTTCTTTAATTTCAGGTGACTACGAAGAAGGACTGGTTACGATTGGATGATCAGGACTGTGTTGAGAAAGTACTAAAATGTGCATTGCATAATTTTAGAAAATGCTAGATCGATGTTGTAAGAAATCATCTCTACATGGTGTCCTCATAAATCAGTCGGACCCTATAAATCCCAATTATGTAATAGGCGGGAACATTATAGGAGGGGCGTGGCTGTCCTTGTGTACCACCAAAATATCGTATTGTCATATTATCCATTCTATTGTGTGTAAAGAAAATCCAAAGTGATATTTGTGTTCTGCAGAGTAAAACAAAATTTTTGATAGTTTTATCATCTCTGTAGGACATCGGGAAAGGGGTGTCCCCTTAAACCACCATCCAACTGGTTTGGCCATCAAAGTCCTGCTAAACCACAAAAACCAGTATGTGTGTGTGAGTGTGTGTGTGTGTGTGTGCGCTGTGAAGACTGATTCACTTGAGTGAATTGAATCATTCTGAGGGTTTGTTGAAATGAACTGGTTCAAAAGAGTCATTGCACAATCATATTCTCATACAGGATTTTATGTTTAATTTTTTAGTATAATTGCTATTTTTACTGTGTTTCTGATTAGGATGTATCAAGTGTATACATTTTTTTAAATTGTTAAAATCAAGTCAAGTCAAGTCACCTTTATTTATATAGCGCTTTTAACAATACAGATTGTGTCAAAGCAAC